AATAAAATGTTGTATATTTGATTAAAGTACAATAGAATTATTTTTTTATTTTTTAATTGTTTTGTTACCCCTAAAATGAAGATTATAACTAAAGTTATCAGAGAAGTTTTAATACAATTTTGTTTTATATTTGATTTGAATTAACATTAATCGAAGTTATTGTTAAAAATACATCTAAAATTATTAAAAAAGATGGGAAAACTGAATTATTTAAGATGGTTTACTTTCTTATCTTTATGATTATAATATTTTGTATTGTGATTGGGTTATTTTCTTCTAATTATTGTATTAGAGGTATTGCTATACCAATAACAGGGAGTTTTTTAATTTACGATTTATTATTTTTCATTTGCATGTTAGTGTTGAAATATGATTGTAAAAAATCTAATGAAAAACAAGTAACTAAACCGGAACGTTTTGTTGATAGCTTTATTAATGAATTTAATAAAGTAATATTTAAAGAATTTGAATATTTTGATAATATTACGCTTTTAAGTATCTTTTTAAACAAATTTGATTATAAGTCAGAGATTCTATATTGAAAATTTCTTCTCCTTGTGTAGAATTTTTAATCTATACGTTAATTTATTCATTTTCTAATAGACTGATAAGCATTGATAAGACTTTGGTATTCTTAGTTCTAATAATTATGAGTATAAAAACATGTTTAAAAAGTTTTATTAATTCTCAAAATACAGGTTATATATTATGCTTTAAAATAACTAAATATGATATTTTTTGTTTAATAACTTTTACTATCATATTTATTTTATCTTTATATGTAAAATTTATTCGAGATATTTTAGTTAATGTGATTCTATCTGTTTTTTATAGTATGATTCTAAGTCTTCTTATCTCAATCATTTATTATGGAAGGAATGATTCTTTAAATCGTTTAAAAATACTTTTATCAGATAAGGATGTTTTAGATAAGGATGGAAAAATTGGAATAGAATATATATTTATGAGCTGTTTTATACTTTATCTTACTACTATATTTTTTACATGGAGATTATTTTGGAAGAAAGAAAACTATTGTTAAGATGAATTATTAAAATAATAATCTAATTTTTTTAACTAATTTTTAGAAAAATTCTATGTTTTCAATAAAATGTTTTTATTATACTTTAACAACAGTTGGTGTTTATACAATTAAGTTTGAATTGTTTTAAGTAAAAATAAGTAAGAATTGGTTTTTTTTTAATTTCAGCTATGTATAATTTTATAATGAATAGTAAAAAATATATTTTAGACTAGTCACAATAAACTTATACACTGATAATTAAAATAGTTTAATGTTTTTTTATATTAAAGAAATAATATTTTAAGAGTATTTATATCAGAATATATATTCTTACTTTAATTAAAAATTATCAATAATATCAAATTAGAGTATTTTAGTAAAATTTTAATTAATACAATTAAAAGTCAACAATAAAAATATTTTATTTTGATAATTAAAAACGTTGTGATATCACATGTTGCTTTAAATTGATAAAAAAACAATCAGAAAATGAAAAGCTAATTTTCTATA